AAAAAAAAAAAATAATCGGCAAGCCCAAAATAATGGGCTGGAATGTTATGTGAAGGGCGAAGGCCAATATGCCCAAAAGAGCCAGGCCCTCTATTATCACCAACCAGGTGATCAAAAGTACACCCAGTACTATAAAAATTATTTAGCAGCATGCCGCTATTACCACCAACCAGGTGATCAAAAGTACGCCCAGTACTCCAAAATTATTCGGCAGCCTGCCGCTATTATCACTAACTAGGTGATCAAAAGTACGTCCAGTACTCCAAAATTATACATGAGCATCACTCATGTCAATCATACATAAACATTTCATGAGCATCACTCATGTCAATCATACATAAACATTCATGACCATCATTCATGTCAACATTCATGAGCATTCATGTCAACATTCATGAGCATTCATGTCAACATTCATAAGCATCACTCATGTCAACATCCATGAGCATCACTCATGTCAATCAACATAAACATTCATGAGCATCACTCATGTCAATCAGCTTCAAAAGCTTCATTTACAGAGCTCTAGCTTCGAAAGCTTCATTTATAGAGCTTCAGCTTCGAAAGCTCCATTTATAGAGCTCTAGCTTCAAAAGCTTCATTTACAAAAGCTCTAGCTTGGAAAGCTTCATTTACAGAGCTCTAGCTTCAAAGCTTCACTTGCAAAGCCTCACCTACAAAGCTTCAGTGCAGGGTATACAAATACCGTCTCCGAACAACCGCCACTTCGGCCTATACATGGATTCAATTTGAAGTCTCCAGCTAACATACCCTATTGACTGAGGACTTGGGGGACTACATTATGTACCATATATTGGGCCTTAACTGGGCCTCATGAAAAATACTTGGGGGGACTTAGCCCATTATTTATGTACTGAGGAGCGAACCCTTATTCTATAAAAGGGACTCCCTCACTTTCATTAGATAGCACCCATTATTCATGTACTGAGGAGCGAGTCCTTATTTTATAAAAGGGACTCCCTTACCTTCATTAGAGAGCATCGCCGCCAGTTGAGCAACCGCCTCGCCATGAGCATCACTCCTAACCCATTATTCATGTACTGAGGAGCGAGCCCTTATTTTATAAAAGGAACTCCCTCACCTTCATTAGAGAGCACGCCGCCAACTGAGCAACCGCCTCGCCGCAAGCATCACTCCTAACCCATCATTTATGTATTGATGAGCGAGCCCTTATTCTATAAAAGGGATTCCCTCACCATCATTAGAGAACATCGCTGCCTGCTGAGCAACCGCCTCGCCGCAAGCATCGACTCTAGCCCATCATTTATGTATTGAGGAGCGAACCCTTATTCTATAAAAATGACTCCCTCACCTTCAATGTCACAAGCCGAGCCAACCAAGGCAACATAAGCCACAAGCCAAGTAGCCTCGCAACATGCGCTACTTCTAGTTAAGCATCATTTCAGATTAAGCACCACCTCATATCGAGTATCAGTTCTAAACGACATCTAGTTACTGCGGCCCACACATGGACTGAATTTCAAGTCTCCAGCCAATAGACTCTTTTGACTGAAGACTTGGGGGACTACTGTATGTACCATACTTAGGGCCTTCGTATTTAGATCTCGTATAAATACTCGGAGGACTCAAATGTAATTATGTAATAAATGAAGGGGTAAATATGTAATAAGTGAGGAACCCTTATTCTATAAAAGGACTCATCACTCTTCTCATTTGGAGAGGCCAATTCTTAGGCCTGACCCCTCACTCTCCTCATTAAAAGAGGCCAATTTTTAAGCCTCCTCATCCCCTCAAGCCTTTCAGATTGAGAAGAGCTATCTCACCTTCAGAAGCTCTCTCTCTCTTCCTCTTCAACATCTTAGAGAAATACAATATCAGTGTGGATGTAGCCCAAACATTGGGGTGAACCACGATACATCTTGTGTTATTTACTTTCTTGCAGATTCACGGTCGGATTTATGTTGTTCCAAGACCCCTCCAGTTTTGTGCATCAACAAGATACTTAAAGCATACAATGAAGTATGGATTGCATTATACGAGGTATCCTTCTATGCTTAAAGGATTTACTGATTCGAATTGGATATTCGATAATACTGATATGAAATCCACAAGTGATTATGTATTTACTTTGGGAGGAGCAACAATATCTTGAAAATCTTCCAAACAAACATGCATAGCCCAATCAATGATGGAATCAGAATTTATAGCTCTTGATAAGGCAGGAGAATAAGCTGAGTGGCTAAGAGATTTTTTGGAAGATGTTCCCATATGGCCTAAACCTGTAACGACAATATGTATACACTGTAATAGTTTAGCTGCACAATATCGAGCTAAAAATAGTGTATACAATGGGAAGTTTAGACAAATTAGACGAATGCATAATACAATAAAGCAATGGTTCTCTAGTGGTGTAATTTCTATTGACTAGGTCAAGTCAAAAGATAATATTGCGGATTCGCTTACAAAAGGTTTATCTAGAGAGCAAGTTAAGCATACATCTAGGGGAATGGGTTTAAAGCCAATAGAGTAAAATGAAACTGCCAAATGGAAACCTAACCTAGTTGATTGGAGATCCCATGGTTTAGGTTCAATGGGCAAACTGGTTTGGTTAGATTCAAAGAAGAAACACACTTACATACCCATTCCTATGATGGAAGAAGTGTGATGACTGCTGATGATGGGTGTAGGATACATTAGTTTAATGATATTGATACTTGTAAGTCAAGTGGAATGGTAGCAGCCTATTCTTAATCATTATCACCTATATGAGAGTAAATGTGGGGTCGCATTTATGAGAATTATATGGCTACATTCTCTAAAGCTCTCATGAATCCAGGATTTGTTTAGGACCAAAATGAACACAAACGTATGAATTTGCGATGTGTTGGTGTGACATATGTTTTGCTTATTGTCTTGGTTTACTGCGGATGAACAGTTCAAGATTTTATATTCATTGCGCCATCTATTAAATTCGATTAGTTCAAGATTTTATATTCACATATATTGTTTACTCTCATTTTTCACCTTACCCTAGGACCTAATAGTCGGCTCAAAATGTGGGGTATTGTTGGAGTTTTTGAGCTCCTTTAGTCCCACATTGGGGAACTCAAGAGAACTTGAGGTCCTTATATTAAGTTAGTCACCTTTATTAGTGATTATGTGTTGGACCATTTGGAATGAGGATTGAGGTTTGGGCCACTAATTGTGTGGATTAGGCTTGATGATTATACCATAATATTAATATTAATTAATCAAGACAAAGGCCCTTGGGACACTTGGGGCCTAAGAATTAAAATTAATCTGATCATTAATTTTAATTTCGAATTAAGTTTTTTTAAAATTAAATTAATTAAAAAACGTTTTGATTAATAGAAACAACTCTTAGGAAAGAGTTGTGTGGTTTCAGATACATCCAAAAGGTATTTGAAGAGGTATGAAAGAGCCTATATAACTAAAGTCTAAGTTCCATCATAAATCATATTTTCTTCCTTCCCTTCCGTACAAACTTTCTAGAGAGTAAACACACAAAGCAATTCGCTAGAATTCTATAATCCAGTGCGAGTTGTAGAATTAGGTAGTTGTATCCTTGTCGAGCAAACGTTGTAGAACCACAAGCACAAGAGTGGGACGAAAATACTGTTCGAATGACATAGCTTTTGCGCTAGCCTCTACCTGTTGTAATCAAGTTAGTACCATTTTAATTCTTATACTTATTTCTGTATATCATTCTGTATAGCAAATATTTTTAGTTAATAAAGTATTAGAATCAAGTTCTGTTATTTCTGTTATTTTATTTATTTCTGAATTGTGGACAAGACATTGACTTGCAAACATGAACTTCAACATTCTATGAAAAGGAAGATTTACCTCAAACCTGGAGTTCTGGATGTGGGGTCGAAAGATCAAACTTTGTAATCCTGAAGCAAAATTTAAAGATACGATATTTATGTAACACAACCTGCATCCATGGTTTGCTTTGCAACATTCTCATCAATGGCTCCAGCACCACCCAACACTACTCACAAGTTGAATTGAACCGCGGTGTTTTCACCATTTGAAAGTTGTGTGTAGAATATAATTAATGGTTGGTTCGTGGTTGTGTATTTATCTATTTAGCATTTTCATTGACAAAGATTGGTTGATGAGGATACTAATGGCATAGTAGACCAGAACATGACCTTGAGCATTTTACAAAATGTTTTTGTTGTAGTTGCTTCATCTAAATTTCTACTTCGTGTGTCAAATTTTTATATCATTTACGTTGTTGAAATCAACTATAAATCTATAGAAATTCATACAAATCCATAAAGAAATCTATAATAAAAATCCATATAAACCTACCAAAATCCATATAGATTAAAAAGAGTTTATTAAAATCCTTTGAAATATGTCACTTAAAAAAAATCCATTAAAATTCTCTAAAATCCAAATTGACTACACCCGAGCTCCCATTAATATTAGAAATAAATTTGATGGGGAGGCGTAGCAGTACCGTAAACCAAACCGGACTTCCAACTTTGCAACGTTCGTCAAGCTTGTGAGTAGCTTGAAGTTTGCGTGGAGCTTTTGTTAAACATGTGTTTAGTATTGACATTTTTTAATTTATGCAGAGAGGACAGAATAAAGGATTTGGTTCTGGTCACCAAAATCTTAGACTGAAACCCTAAACCACAAGTATTAAGGCTCTAATCAAAGCATTGGGCATTGAAGACATCGCTTCCATCTCCAATCTCTACTGCCACAACCATTTAAGACACCGCCACCGCCATTGAAACAATCGTCACTGCAATTCAGCCACCACCACCACCACCACCACAATTCAACGACCAATATCTGGTCCGTTGGTTTAGATCCAACGACCAATATCTAAACGCGCCACACAGAGAACCTTTGCCGCATATTACACGATTGTGTACAAACACTCAATTGTCTTTCAGGAGTCATACTGTGACGAGTGAATTTCTAGCACAGGACTAGACAGCATCAGAAAAATGGAAGATCGGTAAGAACAGGAGCTGTTTGATAGCAAGAACAACATTCAGTAATTAAAATTGACGAACTCTTTGTACAGAAGTATACTATAGAGCATCTGTGAGGGGTGCAATTTCTTCCGACTCACCTGAAACAGGAAACAACCCAAGCTCATCACCAAGATACACGAAACATTGGCGCACTTCTTGGATTAATCCTTCAGGATTTTGCCAGATTTTCTCGCCCCACAAGAGATCTCTCTTGCAAGGGGTACATGGTTAAAATTATTCTCCTTTGAGGAGCAAAATTTGAATCAAGCAATTGATTTCCTTTGTCTAGTCATAACTCCGGTACCTTTTCTATTAGTTTCTGGTGTCTTGTTTTCTGGATCAGGATCATCTGATTTACGCCTTCTCTTTCTATTGTTTGGAGTTATAGCCTTTCGTTTACTGCTTTTCGGAGTCACCAATTCACCATCTTTTGCATCCCCGCTGCAGGAACCTGTCATAGGATCATTTGTCCTGGGTAATTCCTTGTTTTGAGCTCCACTCTGATCAGAATCTCCAATAGGTGTATCACCTTTTTCAAGTTGCTTTCCATTTGTTTGAGGCAAGGGAGTGCCATTTCCTGCAGCACTCTTATCCACACTCACTTTCCAAAAGTGGCGAGCGTTTTCAAACCATTTGCTTACCTGCAATAATATACCGGGATAAAGAAATTATGATATCTGTTAAGACATTTATAAAAATAAGGGAAACTGTAATACTGATGCCGAGATAAAAGGTGGTCTGACCTGCTTAGCCATTATTCCTAGTTCTCGGGCCAGACTTTCCTTCATAGATCGGTCTGGATAGTGGTTTTCCTTGAACGATTTGGATAGTCGCTGAAATAACAGTTAACAATCATTTCAAATAGCCTTTATGATTTTGGCACCAAAAAAAAAAAAAAAAAAGAAAACCATTATGATATTCTTTTTTTTTTTTTCACTATGAGAGAGAGCATCTCACCTAGAATTTAGGTTTAAAGTTTAAAGTTCTGCTACATTTTAGTTTTTAACTCTCGACTTCTGAGTAGTAACGCAAATCCTTAGAGTTAGAACCTAAAATCTAAGCTCATAGGGATACTCTACACCTTAAGGCTTAACGTAAGTGACACTGTCAAGAATGGGATCTTAAATTGGATACTATGCTCAAATTTTGTTGTTGTCAGTTGACAGGTGTAAGCCAAATGAAGTCCAGAGATTTGACACTTGGATACGAGTATATAATATATGTATTGTACATACACAAGAACAATGTACACAAATACAAAACTTTCATATAGGGGCTAACTTCATGCTGAGCAAAGATTGTCCGATATAACTATGTCGTAAGTCAGTTGACCAATGTCGCCAACCCATCAGCATGTCATGATTTTGAGTACCATAAGTACCCATCTTTTATAGGCTGCGTTTCATCAAAATTTTCCATTTTTTTTAACTCGTTCCCTCAATGGTCAATTTCTTTAAGGTGGAGAAACGCCATCTAAAGCTTGGATTTTTAGCTTTATCATCAGGTTGATAACATCATAGTTTATTGTGTTGATCCATCAACATGGAAGCATATCAACCGATGAGGTTAATGTCAATTTTGGTTAACTATACAACAGGACTGCAAACACATAAGAGTTGCACAAATAATCGTGACAGCTTACTTACTCAGCTGAGTGGAAGTTGTAACAGGAAAAAAAAAAACTAGGCTGACAGAACAAAGGATAAGATGGTATAATATATGAAAGGGGAATAAGAGAAGAACAAGTTTCGACTTCATATGCTAGAAAGAGTAGAAAAAACTCGGACCATAATACCTGAGTTGCAGCTTCCCCTAGTTTTCTATATGTTGATCTTGATGATCCACCTTGCTCACTAGTAGAAGCGGACTGAGTAGAGCCTTTTTGTGATTTGTTCGACAAATTACTTGTATCTTCAACCTTTGACTTTCGATGAGCTCTCTTAGGAGTATTTTATTTCTGCGAGGAGTTCTTTTAGGAGTATTCTCATTCTCATCTAGATCATGTTTTATATTGTTGGTGATCATTCCATTCTTAACGTTTGATGAGTCTCCATTTGGTGACATCGTAGGAGCTTGTGTAGTAACTTTCTTCCTTTTCCTCGGTCCAGCAGTATCATTCCACTCTTCATCATCACTTGAATCAGTACGAACATTTCCATATGTCTCCTATAGAAATCAGGGTAAACAGAGCAAACATAAGCAAACCAGTGACTGGGATAAAACATGAATAACAGAGAAACATAGTAGAACTGCGATACACAGTACCAAACTACTGATAACCTAGCCCTAGAACAATACAGTTGATCTTCAAGCACAGCACAAACTTTACGAGATAAGAAAGCGTAACTAACAAGGGAATGAAACACATAGACAGAAGTTATAAATTATAAGTTTATAACTTATTCATACTGCATAATACATTTCAGTTATTATTTAATTTTTCAAGGTAAAGGGCCATTGATTTCAAAGCACTGAACACTACCAGTCATTATTACAAGAGTAAAAATTTTCAGACGCACGAGTAATTTTGCAACACCTACTACACCACAACCAAATCTTAAGTTAGAAAGGAAGACAAGAAACCACGTGAGGCTGGTCAAGAGTTTAGTTATCATGGATTTGCATTCCTTGTGCTGAAAGAAATTAATATTTAGTTCAAATAACTATAAGTTACAAGTTGAAGCAAACTGTTTTCTTAAAAAAGAAAGAAAGATACTATGTTTGTGGAGATAAACAAGGACTAGAGGAGACGAATTGCAGTGCTTCCAAAAAGTACAACATGAGGAATTCCCAATATTCAGAGACGAGCTACAAACAAGTGTTATTCAGGTCTCTCCAAGAAGGAATAGCCCAGTCCCGATGATCGCCAAATTCATTCAAGTCAAAGACTGCTTGTATCCTAAATCAGTTTACAACTAATAAGGCAGGTGTACAGGTAATGATGCATTTATCTACGGTACTGCTACAACGGCCGGACACTCACAAATGATAGAATGGACAAGTTTTAACGATCAAAGTTGTGAGGCCTAGAGTACCAATTATTACTATGTCTAAGGGAACTACTAGGATAGGTGACTACGTGATGCATTTATCTGTAGTACCACCACAACAGCAGGACACTCAAGAATGATAGGACACAGTTTTAACAATCAAAGTTATGAGCCCTAAAGTATCAATTATTACCAAGTCTAAGGGAGAAAAGAATCATATTCTCTAATTCAAAACAACCAAGCATACTGGGAAACTTGTGGAGTAGAAATAAATACCATACTACGATATTATAGAAGGCAACAAGTGCAGATGGTATGATCATAGAACCATGATACACTTAGAAAAGACACTCACATCATGCAGCTTTTTGTAGTTCAACCTTTCTATGTGCCTTTTCCCAGAAACAGGAGCTGCACCAGCTTGGCCAGGACCCGACTCTAATAAAGATAATAACTCATCTTTTAAAGGTTGTTTCTTTTGCCCACGTCTAGAACTTTGTTTGCCGGAGCCTCTAAGAGGCCCACTTTCGTCCAATGACATTGACTTGGGACTTTCAACATCTTCGGAAAACATATTATTGTCGTCAAGAGAAGCTCCAAGATCCTCAGAGTCAGATGTAAAATCAGAACTTGAACTTTCCTTCTTAAGTTCCTCAGTGACTTCTGGAGCATCAGGATTATAGTCATCATCCTCTGAATCGTCAGAAGGAAGTCCTAAGTACTGCTCGTCATTATTTTTTGGAGTCTCTAGTCCATCAGATGCAGATGCATATTTAGATTCATCATCAGAACTTGATTCTTCTCCCTGAACTTCATCATCTGTTTCTGGACCATCAGGGTCATAATCATTATCATCAGAATCATCTGATGGAAGTCCATGGGTGTGCTCCTGATTATGTCCTGATGCTGCAGCAGCCGCTTCAGGAAATACCTTCTGCAGATGAAATAGGAGTGCGATAAGAGATCAGAGTGTTTAAGCCAAAAAAAAAAAAAAAAAAAAAAAAAAAAAAAACGCACAACAGCTTTTGACATTGACCTCCCAGCTGTCGGCAACAGAAAGATCTGTTCCTTGAGAGTCATTAAGCAAATCAAAGCAATCAACTTTGCAGTCACATCCAGGGCATAGCCAACCCTCGTCGTCGGGTGGAACTGCAAGCCAAATGAATAATTGAGCAACTAAGCAATAATAAGTAAAACAAAAAAAAAAAAAAACACACACAAGGGAGTGCTTTGGACATTACTGTCTTCACTTAATAGTGGTGGTTCTAAACAGAATTGGTGGAACCCACGGTCACAAGCGCCATCACAGAGTATAATATCATTCTGAAGAGAAACGTCCTTGGATCCACATTTTGCACAGAATATCTGCCCAATGATATAAGTTTTAATATACCATAACATTTTATGCATGAAACAGAAAAGAATCAGAAATCAGAACCCATACGTAAAAAGCACAAATAGAAAAACATAACAGTATTGTCATGTGACTCATGCCAGAGGAAAATTAAATCAGATGACAAATCATGTCAAAGGAGAGAATATAATTTTCTTAACAAGTGGAACAACTTAAAATTGAAGAATTCTCCTACATCCTCACTGTCAATCTGTCCTTCGGAATCAAATAAAGATTCTGGAAACATTCCTTCAGAACATAGCGAATCGAGACGTTGAAATAGATCTCTTATCTTCAACTTGCGTTGAAGTATTTCAGAAGTCGCTCTTTGAAGCTCCTTCTCTGGCTTCAGTTTTTCTAGGCTGCAAAATTACAAAAGCAATCAGAACTCAGAAGCCAAAGCCCAAGATACTACTCAACATAAAAAGTAGAAAATTAAATGTGACCAAATTGCTGACAAAAAAACCATATACTAGAAGACCTCAAGTATTAAAAAATCAAGATCTTTCTGAAACACAAAAATATCTAAATCCTCTAGCATCTGATAAATAAAGACAACTTATGCACCTGGATCCTTTCCATCCTTCGCCGGAGTAAGCATCAATCAGAGATTTCTCATAGCTTATCCGGTTCAGCAAATATCTCAGATGTTTCCTGACTCTTGAAAATTCATCATCTATGACTTTATTCAGTTGTCTCTTCTTTCTCTTCTTCCTTCTTTTGCCTTCAACATTACTTGGATTTGCAACACTATTACTTGATTCAAGAGTTGAAACATCATTACTTAATTTAGGATTTTTAGTCTTCTCCCCTGTCTTTGAGCGCAGAACTCTGTCACTGCCAACGGAAGATTTTGACACATTTCTTCTTTCTTGATTTTGGATTCTGCTTATCCTTCGGTGCATTCTTAGATGGCTTTTCCGTCTTTTCAAGACTAGAATTTTGGGTCACATCTGCTGGAAGTTGTTCCATTTCTTTATCAATAGGAGGACTCTTGCTTGCATCTTTAAGGGGTAGTTCCAAATGTCCAGTAGGAGAATCCTGGGTCATAGCTTCAATACAAGGCCTTGATTGTTCAAAAACAATAGAGCTGGGTGCTGCTTCAGTAGTTGTAACTTCATTATTATGAGCAGGTACAGAGTCAAGCTGATCTTTTTGTGTTTCTGGTTCACCGTGTACACTTCCACACCCAAATTCATTGATCTCCTGTAATGTAGTCTGGTTAGAGCATGAAACTTTGTCAGTCTGACAAGTCTTTGACAGATCTTCAGATGGCAGTCCTGCTTGTTCGTTAAGAGAAGTCCTGTTCACATTTTCACTAGATGACTGCAAGTGTTGATTGCTACCACAGATGGGTACTTGAATAATTGCTTGTAACTGTTCATTTTGTACATGATCTGAGGCAGAAGGATGCTTTTCTTCAGCTAGTTCACTAGATGAAGTTCCAAAACCACAATCATTTTTCTGTTCCAATGGCATTTGTCCAGAGAATGAAGTTTTATGGGTTGGACCATTCACACCCAGATCTTCACAAGGCATTTCCATTTGATCAATAAGAGAATTCTTGCTCATGTTTCCAGAAAATGATTGCAGTTGGTCCTTCATGGTACAGGGAAACACTGCAGCTGTGGTTTGTAACGATTCATCTTGTTTATATCCAGAAATGGATTGATATCCCTGTTTTGCAAAAACATTTTCAGCTCCACTTTGACTACTCTTGCTCACGTTTTCAGAAGGCAATCCCAATTGTTCAAGATGAGAATTCTCAGTCACATTTTCAGATAATGACTGTGATTGTTCACCAGCATTGCAGATTTCCCGTAGCTCATTCTGGACAATGGCGCACCCAATGTTTTGTTTGGTTGGTTCACTACATTGACTTTCAGAACCAATTTCATGCATCTGTCCTGACGTACCTTCTTCTTGGCATTTTGTTGCATAACTGCTATCACATTCTGAAGTAATATCCAGTTGTGCAGTATCGGCCATATTACGTTGATAATAATATGCACAGATAAATATCAGTAACTCTGTCTGTTTGATACTCTGTGAAGAAATTGGTTGTATTTTTCCAAGGACCCAATCCCAAGAGAAAGGGTAGTAATGCTATTCAAATAACTAAACAGGATAATAACTGACCAACAACTCTTTCCACTCTGCTATCTGATCATATTTAACAAATATAAAATCTTTAACATACAATACGCCTCACCCCAAAATGACAGTGCAAATACGACTTCCATCCATACAAACACTCTCGACGGTGTTGCATTGAATGTCACCTGCAAGCAGGAGTAAAAAGATTATAAGATTGACAGGAAATAAGTAGTGATGAGAGAGTTGGGCAGAACATAAAACTAGCCACGCTATGCAACACTGTCAACACATATCATGAGAACGAGAATTCCACTGAAACTCTGAAAAACTTGTATTTGTAGTAAAGATTACGCAACCTATTCTATCGTAGCCCTTGATCCATTGTCTAAATTTTCTAGTGTGAACTTACTTGGCACCACAAATCTCGCCGAGAGTGTACATATGAAATGCATCTTGCCTATATCTTAATTTAACAATTAAGATACATGTTCGTATTGCCACTAAGTACTATGGTCTGATGGTATTCCTCTTCACTTGTAAATGAGAGGTCTTCGAATCTTGTGAATGGACCAAATTAGGTTGCCCATTGTGTGGCTTAGCCAAAATCCCCCTCCCCTCCCCTTAGCGTAAAGTATATCATTGTACTAAAAAATAGATACAGGGTCGTATTTAAAGACAACATTGTTAGAGACAGCTACTTATTAGAGAATATAAATAAATAAATAAATGTTAACGTTAAAAAAATTCACGGAAAAAAAATGGTCTTAATGCTGAAATTAATAACACAAAACTCAGCAGTAATGCCTAAACGCTGGCAATTAATTACATCAATTCGTAGATACTTATGTCCAGCTACTATAAAAAGCATCCTCAAACAAACCCATTTTTTAACAAACAAAAATTAAAAGAGACAAGCATAACAAGAAGCATTCTTTCTAGCCCTTAACTCTTAACCTCTGTTTGGTTGCCGAGAAACGCCGAGACAGTACAAAGAAAGCAAACTACTTCAACTTATCCGCAGCTGAGCTCACTTCTTCGCCACCGAAACTCAGTAAGTTCAGGCAACTTCTCCAACAATAATCAAAATTGGAGAAGAAGAACAACAACAACAACAAGGCCTAAAGCATGATGCTCTTTTCTCAGAAACCTAATTTTCTAGAAGAAAAAAAAATTCAAGTAAAAATATAAGTTAAGGTAAAAAGTTACCCGGTGAAATTAGCAGTTGACACCGCTGGAGAGAGAGAGAGAGAGAGAGAGGAGGTTGGGATGGGAAGGGAAGGGAAACGGATCTATGTTGTGTGGTTGTGTGCGGTCCCGATAGTTGTTGACACCGCCGAGGGAAAAGAAGCGGTTCCCACTAAAACACAGTCCTCTATAAATCTGGGCCACCGTTGCGCGCTCGCTCTCTCTCTCTCTCTGCTATTTTGTGCTTGCGGTGCGTGTTTTCGTGTACCGAGTGGGCTGGGCCTTGAGGAATAAAGAGAAGGTTTTGTTTTTCGTTTGGAGGTGGCGACTGACATGAACGTGATTGCTTATTAGGCCCAGGCCCAGGCCCAAGTATTTGTATGGGTTTCTCCCGCATCCTACTCTACAAGCCCCTTTTTGTGCAAGGAGCGAGATAAAGATGAAACACAATCGAAGCGGGAAACGACTTAACGTCATTTCTAAGGTGCGGACGCAGCTTTGCGGATCTTGCGTGTGGACAGGATGTGGACCGTTCGATGAAAATTGAACAGTTGAAAACAAATCCATGATAATGAGTTTAAGGTGAAACTGGGTCATAAATGACCTATCAATTAATTAAAATGATACCCGGCATGAATTCAAAATTTCTTGGGATTTAAACTATTCCCCTCATGACGTCAACACTTACCGTCTTTAGTAAGTCTTGTCTTTGTCCAAAAACACCTCTCCTGTGTTTGGTCATACATCTTTCCCATCGAAAACTTGGTTTCCGTTCCAAACCTAGTTATAGTTGGTCCATGCTTGCGTTGTCCAGCCTCACAGAAATTCTAGACATCAATGAAGAAAATCAGGGAACTTTGGTTGAAGGTTGTGCAGTTGGTTCCATAGAAATGACGTGTTTATTGCTTCATTCGAGTTGGATTCAGAGTGCTTCTGCGATAACTGACGTCATATTTGATTCCACTAGTGAATTTCAAATTTAGTGAGTTTTAAAAATGGAATCCTAGAATTTAATTTTGTTATTTATGTTAGGGTAAATAGCCAAAATAGTTTCTGAGATTTGCATAACTCGTCACTTTGGTCCCTAACATTTCAAATCAATCAAAGTGGTCGCTGAGATTGTCCACCATCCATCATTTTGGTATTTCCGTTAAAAACTCCGTTAAGTGTCCCGGAGCTATTGGCCGGAAGTTTGGGCAATTTTTAAAGCTTCGTAACTTAATCGTTTCTTAACCAAATTAGACCCATAATATATCAAAATGAAGATAGGAAAGTGTAGAATAAGATTATACCTATTTGGAAGCCCAGTGGTTACCGGAGATGGCCGGAAAATAGCCTCAAAGTTGACTGGTCCGAGAGAAAACTGGAAAACTCGTCGGAAACTGGGTAAACTTTAAACGTTCATAACTTCTTCAATACTCAACGAAATCAAGTGTTTCAAAAACAAAAATCATACTTCTTGACGAGACGAAGAGATGGTATCTTTTTAGATGGCTAACTCGCTATAGTTTGGCCGAAAAATGGCTCGAAAGTGGCTGTCCACAGCGATTTGGCCATCTAAAAAGGTACCATTCTCTTTGTCTCATTGAGAAGTATGATTTTGTTTTGAATCACTTGATTTCGTTGAGTATTGAAGAAGTTATGAACGTTTAAAGTTTACCTAGTTTTCGACGAGTTTTCCAGTTTTCTCTCAGACCAGTCAACTTTGAGGCTATTTTCCTGCCATCTCCGGTAACCATTGGGCTTCCAAATAGGTATAATTTTATTCTACACTTTCCTATCTTCATTTTGATATATTATGGGTCGAATTTGGTTAAGAAACGATTGAGTTACGAAGCTTTGAAAATTGCCCAAACTTCCGACCAATAGTTCCGGGACACTTAACGGAGTTTTTAATGGAAAGACCAAAATGATAGATGGTGGACAATCTCAAGGACCACTTTGATATGTTAGGGACCAAAGTGATGAGTTATGCAAATTTTAGGGACCATTTTGGCTATTTAGCCTTTATGTTAAGTAGTAAAAATTAAGTTAGGTGTAAGGTTAACTATGCATGTTCGTTGATGTAATTAGCTTGAATTTGTGGATATATGTGAAATTTTTTAGAAATTTGGGTGGGTTGTGAAGTTATGAAGCTGTGTTGACTGGTTGTGTAGAGGTTGAGTCGTTATTTGTTGTTTTGGTAAAGTTGTAGTTTTGAGTAGAGATTGATTTTTGTATCTGAATTATTGTTAATTTTATGGTGGTAGAGATTGATTTTTGTATCTAAATTATTGTTAATTTTATGACATGACTTCAAATTGCTTAAGTAATTATGCTCTGTTTACAGTAGATGTTGTAGCTATGAAGCTTTGGTGATAGGTTATTGTTAGGTTATGTGTTGTTTATTGTTGATGTGTTTGTATTGTTATGTGTACAAGATATGGCAACCTAGGGTGTTGAACTAGCATCCAGAGAAGAAGAAGCATATAGGGGAAGGGTTAACAACCTATCTCAAGCCCTTCATGTGTTATGATTGATTAGGGAGAAGTTTAATGAGGCACAACTTGGTGCCTTTAAGGCATTCTATTTGGGCACCGTCAGGGTGAGGATGAATAGGTCCATGAGTTGTCACTTTGTAGAGTGGCAGGGGTTAAAGACCTAGAGAGGATGACGTATTTAATAGGTTGTGAATTGAGCTTGTTCACAAAGCTTCTGATTCATTATTGGGCTACGATGTGACGAACCCCATGACATAAAGGTTGAGCCATAAAGGATTAGGCCGCAATGGGAGTATTTTCCCGAAAAATTAAGGTTGGTAGGTGAAAGTAGGAAAGGGAGGAAAGAAAAGGGGAAAGGTAAAGCTAAGGTTGTCCTTAAGAAAGTCACCAAAAAATATCCGTGACCTATGGGGAGCTTGAAAGGGCGTTTAAAGAGTGTAAACATATGGACGATGCCTTCAAGCTAGGTTTGGTATACTTTGCCGAGGTTGTGTTAATAGTGGCAAAGAACAATGTTGTTGTGAATTTAGACTATCTTGACCTCGTGGAAGATATGGATAAGTTCAACAGCTTTGCATGGGGTTCCATCTCCTTAGAACAACTTCATGATAGCTTCTTGTTTGTTGCCTCAAAGAGAGATAGAGGTGGAGCTGAGGGGGATGATAAAGGAGATGAAGAGGAAGAAGAAGAAAAAGTTCAGGGAACAAAGAAGGTGCAACGATCTGGATGGGGTTGCAAAGGATTTTCGCACGCTTTTTAGGTAACGTAATGTTGTCTTTATTAATGTGATTGAGTGTTCATTTATTGAGGAATACATGCATAAGTGGGCATATGAAATAATTCCCCAACTTGAGAAGTCCCTATGTTACTGCAAGATGGTAGATCTGGTAACTACACCGAGAATTTTGTGGTGGAAGACAACGAAGAAGTAGCCAATCCACGGGCAATTGCAATTGTATATAACCTAAGAGCCGAGTGGTATAACTATATTGCAAAACTTTTGAAGTTTACGAATGAAAGTGAATGTTTGTGAATATTGTATGTATAAGGAATGTATTTATGATGTGTGGCTTTAAATGGCAGGATGTGGGGATTAGAGAAATTGTCCTAACTGAAACAGAGAGGAACAAAGAATATTAGATGTAGGGGGATGATGTGGATGTTGTGATTCTTGAGAACCTGACTCCGGACACAAAAATGTTGTTGGTGAGTTAAAAATGTAGTTGAAGGAGTTGAAGGTGTCATTTGCGCGGTTGGCCCACAAGAAGGAGATATTAGACATAATTTGTTGATGCACAGTGGAAGAGTTGTTGAAGGTGGTCGAGGAATTAATAAGGGTAGTGAAGGAAAAACATGTGGAGGAGAATATCGAGGAAGAAGAAGGAAAAAAAGATGTTGGAGAACAAGTTGAAGAGGAAGGAGAAGATGAAGAAGAGGGAGAAGAAGAAAATGAATAGGGAAATGATAAAGAGGCAAAAGAAGAGGAATAAGATAAAGAGGAGGAAAAAGAAGAAGATGAGGGTAGTCAAATTCGTGGTAATGTACAAACTATTGTGGAAGAAGAAGAACATAAAGATGAAAAAAATGGTTTGGCATAAGAGGAAGAAAAACTAGTGGGTGAAGAGGGGAATCAAGAGGATGAATTAAGGGATGAAGGCAAAAGAAGGAATGGGAAGGTGATGGATCAAGAGGGAACGAGGTAATATGAGCTATAAAGGAAGAGGGTAATTAGTTTGTATGGACTGTTGATTAGGCTAGTTCCTTAAATGTATGCGCGAAGATGGTTTAGTTGGAGAACAGGCACTATAGGAGTATAAAGATGTCAAGAGTTTAGGTGATGACAATGAGGTGGTGATAGACACACTTGAGGGCCAACATGTAGGAACCAAAAGGAAGGTCCTGTGCACAAGGGCAACCTCAAAGTGTGTGCGAACCAAAATGGGGCAGAAAAAGAAGATGAAAGTGGTTCGCCATACCATTTGATCGTTGAAGTCACAAAGTGCCAAAAAATTCATGTCGGTCAGCCTAAGAAAGATGTTGTGCAGAGAAGTGTTAATTAAAGCCATGGATGCAAAATGTGTGGTTGAGGTGATGCAATATTTCCATCACTTGAATAAGTTGAAGGAGAAAGACAAGAAGTAAGTTAATCATTAACGTTATGATTTTATGTATGCTTGAAAAAAATTGATGAAATGAATACAATGATGAGGATAATTTTTTGTTTACATTGTTAGTCCAATTGCCTAGTTGGAATTCATGAAGGTTAGACACATTGATTTCTGAAGGCAACTTCTAAACCAGCAAGACTGGCTATTAACAAACGTAAGTGACTAAACCCTATGTGTTACATAGTGATATAAATGTGTTATGATTGTGTTGGTGTGATAGGCGAATTAAATTTTGTATATTGCAACACATTCACTCGTAATTCTATCTCCTGCGGAAGCATAAGCATGAGGCTCAGAGGATGCAGAAAGTGGTGACCACTAACACAACAAATTGGTTAAGTGTGTTTTCGGTTTGAAAAGTTTGGCAATTGTGATGTTGAGTGTGTTTTCCATTCGATGAAGTGTTGTACATGTTTTTTTTTTATATTTATTTTACACTTTGTGAATAGTTATTTTACACTTTCTGTTCGATGAAGTTATGATGAAAGGAATGTTGAATTGAAAACTATAGGGTGGAAAGGGGTTGCGTCCAAACAATTTGAGCCGGTTTCATACAGAATAGTGATAGGG